AAATTACACTCCAAGTGGTTTGTGTTCTCATGGTGAGTCTTTTTTCATCATCTCTGGCCTTCGCTCATAACGGTAAGTTCATGAGACCGTCCACAGCCATTTTGCCCGATGAGGCAAAATGTTCATGTCACCGGACCTCAACCCAGATTTTCCGTGACAAGAAAAATCATTTGGGTCAGGGTTAAGTTGATGATGATTGGTGCACTACTTACAAAACCATCTCCTTGAAAAAAACATAATTAAATATGAAAAGTAAAGCATATAAATAAATAAAAATGCTTACCATGATACCTTTTCTTTGCTGATTTTTATAGAAATGCATTGTAAAGCTTGAAAAAATTTGAAGAGTGGGGATAGCTGTAGGAGGTAGGTCAAGGTTACTATTTAGTATAATCTTCATTATAAGTTGATGCCACATTATGATATGAATGCTATGTCCATATATATCCATCTGGTACCTCCCTTTGTTTTCTGGATATCTCCCCTTAAATTTAATCTAAATCAAACATAAAACTCAAAAATATCAAAGGAAAAAATCTTGTTATGCATCACCTACCAGTTTACAACCTTTTGCATGAAGGACTTGCCCTCTCCTTTGACACCAATCTCCTTAGCAACCATGTGGTATGGATACAACACATCAATGGGAAATTCAATGAACACTGGACCTGGAAATATAAATAAAAAATTAGGCTCTGTATTTCTTTGTAGGGGATATAATTTGAAAATACCAAAACTGAGGCATGATCAGGACTTTAATCATTTAAAAGAAGAAGAAGAAAGAGAAAGAAGGAAATGAAGATGATGAAGAATAAATGAGAAAGGCAAATGAAATCAAATCTCTAAAAACCTTACCTGGTGTCCCACTCTGGGCCTCCTGTAAAGCTCGCCGGACAACGGGCACAATATCTCTTACTGAGGTGACAGTTGCGCAGTACTTGCACAGAGGCTTAAAGAGTGACATCTGATCTATATCCTGAAGCGCTCCTCGACCCTTCAAGATAGAGGCTGCAGCTCCACCTATTAAAGAAAATTTACATGAATTTGTGAATATCTAAATATGATACATAAAACTCCTGAACTTGTGAACAAGTTAGGTTCTTGGGCTTTGTTTTTATGAGAGTCCCTAAAATTGGGGGGTCATGGGGTCTGGGTAGATTGGGTTGAAAAGGAGTTAAACCCATTTTACGCTCATACAGGAATGTGTAGAATTATCCACACATTAAAAACCTCCTCCATGAAGAAAAACTAGGCTGTGACAGGATCACAAATCCAAGGCAGTCACTCGCGGCATCAGCAATTTACACATATGTATTTATCTCCAACTGGAGTGAAAAATCAAACATTGTATTTTGACATTACCTATGAAAATAAGTCTTGGAGATGAAAGTGTCTTATGAATGAATTCCTTCCAATATGAGGGCTTTATGATGAAAAAATAAAGAAAATATAAATCATCAAAC